TTCCCGGCCAACATCAACACCAACAACCGACAACAATCAGCATAAATGGGAGGAACCTGAAGGAAACAACTTCTTTCACCTACCTGGGAAGCATCGTCTCAACTACAGGAGGAACTGAGGAGGATATCAAAGCCAGAATCGGAAAAGCAAGACAAGTTTTCATTTCTCTCAAGTCTATGTGGAGGTCAACAGCATTCAGCGTCAAAAATAAGATCCGTATTTTCAACTCCAATGTGAAGTCAGTACTACTATACGGATCAGAGACTTGGCGTGTCATAAAGAGCAGCTCAAACAAGCTACAGACCTTCATTAACAAATGCCTTCGCTCAATACTCAAGATCAAATGGCCGGAGAGGATCAGCAACAAAGACCTCTGGGAGCGAACCAACCAGGAACCGATCGTGAAACAAATAGGCAGGAAGAAATGGAGATGGATTGGACACACTCTGAGGAAACCAGCAAGTGACATCACTAGACAAGTCCTCGAGTGGAACCCGAAAGGGAAGCGACGAGTTGGTCGTCCAAGGGTGACCTGGAGGAGATCATGTGAAGAGGAATTGAAAGCGTGTGGGCAGACTTGGAGCCAGGTGAAAACTACAGCAGAGAACCGAACGCAATGGAGACGCATGGCTGAAGCCCTATGTTCCTCTAGGAATTAAAGGAAATAATAATATAATAATAGATGCTACAAACATTAAATAATCAGCAGTGCAATGAAGTGAAAAGAGATGTGGAAGATTTGGAGCTGCTCTAAACGTACAAAAATCCACCTCAATGTTCCAAGAGGCAATTATGTCAAAAACATCATTGGGACAATGTCTGACAGTACTAAGTTGGATATATTATGAGGAGATCTACTCCACTGGGTTATGCAATCAATCTTTCGAAGGATGAACTGTCAACACGTCCTTCTGAAATATTATTCCACACTAGATAATCAAAAGTTATCAGATTCAAGTCCAAAATGCAGTTTGCTTACTTGACTCATCAAACTAGTGGATGGAATCAACATACAAGGAAAATTCGAAGCATTACATTCAACAGGTGTCACAACTTCCTTAATCGCACTAAATCACACGATAGACCTGTGTTTACTAGGAGATTGGGGAAGTGCCAAAGAGCGGGGAGATCATGTGACGTACTTTGTACATGACTTTCAACGCAATCTCTAACGAGTTTCTATAACGACAATCGATCATAAGCTCCAGAATTGAGCTGTTGAGTTTTCTGCATTCTCCTTTCGACAATCATGCTGAAGTTGTTCATATGCAAGTCGAAGCGTACTTATTACTTATCCACTTTGATTTACTCTGTTTCAAATTGTTTATAACAGTTGATATTGGTAGTCAGCTAACACTGCTTATCTAAATACCCTAAATAAGCGTACAGCTTGAAGGTGAATTTACGAAATGAGGGGATATTTTGCTGCTGACGCATGTGTTCTTAATTACGTGAATTAGGAATTTTTCATACTTTTAAAAATAATCATCATTAGAACAGGTTTCTGCATTTTGTAAATTTTAGTACTATTACAAAAATGGAAGACATTCTTTTCGAAGTGAAAATATGTTCTGTCTATTCACTTTAGAGTTGCTTTTTATCTTTGTCAGTAAACGGCAAGTAATTCTGGAGTCCTTGTCACCTCCTTGCTCAGCAACAATTCTAGCATTTGTCATCTGGTGTGCGATGATATGTCTGTTCACGCAAATAATAATCTGCTTTCCATCATGGAATGGCGAGAGACGTCCGATGAAGGGACAAGATAACACAAACATTTCCAACGTTCTGTCTATTCTTCACATACAAAACGTTAAATAAACAATTGTATTCTCTAGACTCCTATTGAATACTTATTTCAGATTTATCCTCTTGATTCTCGACACTGTATGATCCTTTGTTTTTCTGCAATGTCTGAATCTATTGAATATAAAATTAGTAAAGGAAATGAGTTAAATTAAAGCTGTTTGTTTGTTTGTTCGACATATTTTCCACTGTTATTTGAGTGTATGTTGAAACTGTGATAGTGGCTTGTTCGTCGGTCAGTGTTTGTCGTCAGAAACATTTAGACGGAAACTCCCACAGTAAAGAAAATATGATTGCAGAGAACTCATGTTCGACAAATTCGAATCACCACGACTAATTTACTGATGCGGTGTAAGTGGTTTCTGAGAGGAGCACACTGCTTCACGGAACGGTGTATAAGCTTATTTGTATGTTGTCTCATTGTGAGTCTGTAACATGTAATACAATCTATTTACGCCAGAATAGGAAACTGACTTTCGCGTCATCACAGAAGTCATTATACTGAAGAATATTTTTCGCTCATCGACAATGATAGTGATGGTATTAATTCATGAAAAACTTCCATCCGCAAATTAACAAAAACAAGACATGTAGTTCGGTGAAAAGACTGCTTTTGACGATTCATGTTACTCAGTGATCTGGAGAAGCTCAAAAAAAGTTCTCGCTTGTGGCTGTACTATTCGGGTGTCAGTGTACAACGAAAATTAGGAAGGAAAAAGAGATTAGAAACCTGAAGGAAAACTATGACGCAAAACAACGATACCAGTGTCAAACAAATAAATTCGAAGTTTTAATGTGGAATAGTTGATGGTCAATCAGTAAATCCTGAGGATACTAGTTGTCAGAACATTTAAAGCCTGAAGAAATTCCATCCTTATTTTATCCAGATTATTCAGACATCTTTGTGGATAACACTGAAATCGATCTGTTGTTCCACCACGAAATCTGATAAGTTCACATATCTTAAGTCAGAGCTGCGGAAATTACAGGTGTATGTGGCTATCATAACCTGTTGTGCAAGATGAAGTGAGTTTGTGTATTCAAATGACACATCAGTGCAACGGTAACACAGTCTTCCAGCCATGTCACATGATCTCCCCGCTCTTTGGCACTTCCCCAATCTCCTAGTAAACACAGGTCTATCGTGTGATTTAGTGCGATTAAGGAAGTTGTGACACCTGTTGAATGTAATGCTTCGAATTTTCCTTGTATGTTGATTCCATCCACTAGTTTGATGAGTCAAGTAAGCAAACTGCATTTTGGAGTTGAATCTGATAACTTTTGATTATCTAGTGTGGAATAATATTTCAGAAGGACGTGTTGACAGTTCATCCTTCGAAAGATTGATTGCATAACCCAGTGGAGTAGATCTCCTCATAATATATCCAACTTAGTACTGTCAGACATTGTCCCAATGATGTTTTTGACATAATTGCCTCTTGGAACATTGAGGTGGATTTTTGTACGTTTAGAGCAGCTCCAAATCTTCCACATCTCTTTTCACTTCATTGCACTGCTGATTATTTAATGTTTGTAGCATCTGGATGTAAGTAATAAACAATATGGAATGATTCAGTCCAAATGCATTCCATTTGTAAAGACCACTCATTCAGGTGATGTTGAATATTTACCGCTTGAGCTTTTAAGCTTTATGATATTTGCAAGTGGCGAAATTATTCTACAGGATATTTGAAGTCAATTACTCAATCAATAAGTTATAATCTCGTAAAAATATATCAAGTACAAATGAAGATTATCCCACTAAGCTGAAGTATTGTAGGTGCAGGCCTTTCTGCCGATTGCTTTCAACCATCTCATATGAATATTTCAGAGAGCGCGGTGATGGCGAGCCACCTGGATTGGTGGACATGTCACAAGCTTGACTTACAAAATTCAGTCTGCACCAGACAAAGAAGACTAGACGTATTACACTACTTGTTAACTACTTACTACTTACAAACTAGTGTACAGTCAAAGTCTTCATATCAGTCCCAATAAAAACAAACTTGTGACGCCATAGACACCTTCTCTACTGATTCTACACATGGCTCAAAACCTAGTGGCATACCAATAATGTAAGCAAGCACTATGTGATACCTGGAGTGCCAGCTAGCCGTTTTTCTATCCGGGATTATAAGCCGAATTGTCTAGCGTCTAGTCAGTAACTTATAATGTGTTTGTTGTCCAGCACCAATATTTATACTACTCATTACTGATTCTTCGGTTTTCATGAGATGGCGGATTCACTTCTATCGCTTAATCCTCTGTGAAGCTTCTTAATTACTTCAATTGTTTGGACCATCAGAGTGCGAGGAAGCAGCCTAAATTATTTGTCCCATGAAAGACGAAAAGTATATTGGTGGTAGCCTCGTAACCTATCATTCATTGACTTCAACTCTTTATGCCTGTATAGCACACAGAATTTCCATTTCATTTCTCAGTTACTCAGATTCCGAATTTATTCAAAATCTCATTTTGCTATCAGTGATGTTCCTATTTCGACATTAGGATCAAATATCTTGATGTTTTCCCGAACTGTGCAAGTCCATTCTAAGCACGTCGTCAGCTGTAGGTTCCAGTGCATACTTCATTCTAATCTATAAGTATATTTCTACTGTGGTCAAAGCTGGGCAACTAAAACATTCTTTGATTTGTAGCTGATGTCCGTCATTTCGCTATCGTTATTCTGTGCTTACACGTAGAACAGTATATTTGTTAAAATGTGTAGGAAATAATTAAACGGTGAATGTTTATTAATGTATTCGATTCTCTGGGATTTACGCATTCTATAACCGTCTTATGAGAACTATGGAGGGTTGATTCCACTCCACTCTTCATTCTGATCGAGATAGCAGAATCAATGAGAAAACGAAACGACTTGTTCGAATTGAAATAATTATTGACCGGATAAATGAAAACTTTGCACCCTCAATGGCAAATTCAATCTGAAAACAATCGTTGATAATTACTTCGCTTACTTTGATGTGGAGTCGGAAATTGGAATTGTATGTTCATGTGTATGAAGACAAGGAAACCAACACACTTTATTCGACAATTGTGACGAACGCTTTATTTTGGCATGAGATGTGATAACAGAATGAACTACGACCACTCAGTAATATATTACCATATCGATTACTGTCATCAAAGTCACAATATATAAAAGCAGATAACATGAATATTTTCAATCGCATAAACACAAATCCAGGAGTTTCTCAACGTAAGTGAATTACAGCTTAATAATTAATAGGTGAAACAATTTATTCTGAGTGGTTCGTTGCTAATTCTTTTTCCATTTATGTCTTTAAATCTGATTATGGTTAAATAGATATGCATGGTCTCGATGTCAGTGACTTTTACGTTGAAATCATACAGTTTCTTTCATTGTTATTATTATGATTATTATTATACCCTTTGAGTTCCGAAGGAAGCAAATCAACGTCCTTTAAACTCCCATTTCATTGATATCTCATGGATGAAGCCAGTGTCGACATCTAAGATCTTCAATCTGCTAGACATGGGTCATATTTTAATGGCTTCATTCACTATTACTGCATACATGACGGAATATGTCTAATTCTGTTTTCATAGAAAACGAATTTAATTGTCTTACTTCTCAAATATCTTTTCGTATATCGAATAAGCTTCTATTCAGGTTGCTTAATTTATTGAAGTGTATCCTTCCACATAATGAACGACTTCTCCTTAACGGAACTCACGAACACACAAACAAACGAAGTACCCAATTGTGATAATTGGTTTTCTATAATTTCATTCTTCTGAAAACTGATCAGCCGATCCTTTGCACACCACTGCTGATTATATTGAAGAGAATTAATCCACACAGCCCTATGCTTGTATCGCATTCGTAATCTTTATGCTAACATGACCAATTGATTTCGACCGGATATACATCTTCAGATTTCTTCTCTTATTTAGAAATATTTCTAGGACACCAGAAAATGGTACACTTTGACTCATCTTTTACGCCTTCAACATACCTGAGTGAGGAGAAGCGATCAGTGAGTGTCTTCAGTTATCCATGGGTAAGAATATCGTGGTGTGTTAAAAAGACTTTTTTTAAAAATCTTAGTTCATAATCGAGTTGGTGGTGATGGTGGTGACGACAACTGTGATCATCGCTGTGTTTATGAGAAAGTAGAATTCAATAAAGTTAATGTTGAAACATTACTTTGATTTACAGGGAACAACTATCTGAATTCTTCATGGAACATATCTATTTGGAGTATATCATTTTGTGAGTTCTTCATTCAGTGTTACCTATTGATCATTGAATAAGTGTCAGTACACCATGACAACTAGAATTCACTGATAATACAGGAGATTATAACGTCCCAGCGTACATTTCAACTTAACTGCAAAGACTACTGAATTGTAAAGTACAGGGCGTCAATGTGTGTATTTTCAGCTCATGTCATAAGGAAGCATTAATTCTAGACTGTTAAATTCTTCTTCTGATATTCTGACGTTCAATTTGGTTTGCTTTCGCATTTGTTACGTGACTGACATGACAATCGTCAGAAAACCATATTCAGTGCTGATTATTTGTACAGATTTCCTACTTGAATGCTTGAAACTGCAGAAACTCAAGGCATGAATAACGTCGTCATCCATTCCACATTGAGAATACTACTTAATCTGTGGAATGAACATCCTTGATATTGTGACACTGTGTAGGCCGCCAGTTGAGATTGTTTCCACAGATATTGCCAACGTTTCTACGCATTAAATTGCCGTAATTCAATAAATACTAATTCTATCCTGAATAAAGTGAAATATAATTCAGTGAAGAAGAAGATTTTCTCTACCGATGAATTATCTTGGAAGTCTGTGCAGCGATTATAATTTCGACTCATATGTATAGCAGACTATTTTTGATTCCATTATGGGTAAATTTTTATTTTGATAGAGTCTCACAGTATTATACAGTAATATTTACTGATGACGTTTCGAGCACAAACTATTGCTCATAATCATATCAAGTTACTCACACAACTTCTTTCCTTCATTTATATACATGTGTGGAATCGACTAGATATTGGATTAAAATTCAATATGAGATAATGTACATTCAGAAATAATAGTACGAGTGTTATTAATCCATTGCAATTAGATGGGAAATACGACGAGTGTTTTTATAGTCATAATAAGTTGATTGTTAGAATGTGTTTGAATGGAAATAGATTATCTATTATCCTCTTCTGATTTGACTGGTGGCAATAATACGAGTGTTATTAATCCATTGCAATTAGATGGGAAATACGACGAGTGTTTTTTACAGTCATAATAAGTTGATTGTTAGAATGTGTTTGAATGGAAATAGATTATCTATTATCCTCTTCTGATTTGACTGGTGGCAATAATACGAGTGTTATTAATCCATTGCAATTAGATGGGAAATACGACGAGTGTTTTTTACAGTCATAATAAGTTGATTGTTAGAATGTTATGATGTGCTTGAATGGAAATAGAATTTTAAGACTATTTATCATCTTCTTCTGATTTGACTGGCGGCAATAATATCTTCCATATTTCTGGTATTTGCATTGAGTCACTTCTGTTGCATGTGTTGGGTGTAGATTCGATGAACAAAGATTCAGTAATCAACCTCTCTCTCCACCTACCTAGATTACTTTTTAGAATTTTAACCCTCTCCCACCCTATTGTGTGGTTGTGTGTTAATGCATGCATTGCGATTGCCGAGCTTTTTTCTAAATTACTTATCTCCTCTGGGTCAAACATTCTTGTCAGAACATAAGAATTTAGCTAAGATAAGAATGTTTGACCCAGAGAAGATAAGTAATTTAGAAAAAAGCTCGGCAATCGCAATGCATGCATTAACACACAACCACACAATAGGGTGGGAGAGGGTTAAAATTCTAAAAAGTAATCTAGGTAGGTGGAGAGAGAGGTTGATTACTGAATCTTTGTTCATCGAATCTACACCCAACACATGCAACAGAAGTGACTCAATGCAAATACCAGAAATATGGAAGATATTATTGCCGCCAGTCAAATCAGAAGAAGATGATAAATAGTCTTAAAATTCTATTTCCATTCAAGCACATCATAACATTCTAACAATCAACTTATTATGACTGTAAAAAACACTCGTCGTATTTCCCATCTAATTGCAATGGATTAATAACACTCGTATTATTGCCACCAGTCAAATCAGAAGAGGATAATAAATAATCTATTTCCATTCAAACACATTCTAACAATCAACTTATTATGACTATAAAAACACTCGTCGTATTTCCCATCTAATTGCAATGGATTAATAACACTCGTACTATTATTTCTGAATGTACATTATCTCATATTGAATTTTAATCCAATATCTAGTCGATTCCACACATGTATATAAATGAAGGAAAGAAGTTGTGTGAGTAACTTGATATGATTATGAGCAATAGTTTGTGCTCGAAACGTCATCAGTAAATATTACTGTATAATACTGTGAGACTCTATCAAAATAAAAATTTACCCATAATGGAATTACACTCTACCACAGTGCCCAAGTTTTATTCTTATATCAATGAGACTATTTTTGAGTATTCAGGAATGGTCACTACAGTTACGAAGAAGCTACGTTATCGTTACGGAGAGAGTAGAATTATGGGTTTGAAGTCGGAAAATCTGTTCATCATTCTTAGATCAGAATCAAGGTGGTTGATTGTCTAATTGATCAGAATGGAGGCGATAAATACAAGAAGAAGAATGGGACCAGTAAAATGCACAGAACTTATGTGTAAGTGTGATAATAGTTAATATATCCCTTGGAAAAGAAAGATTTTAAAATCAGCCATTTGTTCACCATCTCGTAGGTCATTTCAAGCTCCTACTTTACTCTCATCTTTCTCTCTGTCTTTCTGGTAGGATATCAATTTTAAGTGCGGATTTGCCCACCTCACTTTAATTCATGTTAACTTCCTCCGAAAAATCCAGCCACTCTCATATTGAAGAAAATAATGAAACAATGTGATTGGCAGTGGTTGTGTGGTTCCTATCTAAAATTGGTCGGAGGATTGCAATTTGGATTCACCTTCATTAGAACCACTGACATTAATAATGTCAGTGGCTCTGTCACATTCAATAGAAGTGTCGTCCACGTAAAATTTGCACATATGTTAACTCACAATAATGGGTGGTATCTTGTAGTTTTCTAGACTGAGCAAGGAGCAGTCTGAAAGTAGGCGACCCACTGGTGAATGTATCACCACTCCGTTTCTTTCTCTGCATAGAAAATCAAAGAAAATGATGCATTCTACTTGGAATATAATTTCACCGTAGTATAGCTGTACTCAGTTACTGAGATCAAACTACAGTGTTCTGCCTACCGTTACGTCAGGAATTAGACTTATGATTTGGAGTGCAAACGCAGAACATTCTATTTCTGAAGTCAGCTTCAAATGCGAGGACTGGATTGAATACACGGATACAGTCGGATCTGAAATCATAATGACTGTAAAATCAAGATTTCAATATTTCCTGGTGGCTATAATCACGTAATAAACCATTTCGATTAATTCTATGCTCATTCAGATGAATTTTGCATCTTTTCGAATTGATTTTAGATCAGTCGGTTTCCTCCTGTTCTTTCTCTGTGTATTCGTCAGACAAATCCGTTCGAAATCTCTTTCCGTTTGCATAGTGCTTGAAATTGCGGTGAGTTTCAAGTTGATTTAATGTAACAACATGGAGGTGAGAGGATTCTCACTAGTTTGTGTGTAGGGGATGGATGTTAGATGATAAATTCGAGGATCGTGTATACAGATATGTATCTAGTCTACGTAGTCATTTCTACAATTCACAGCACATGCTCTTGTTACCTCTACTATTGCTACCACTATCATGAGTATAATAGTTAATTTCATGAAATATCCTCATTTGAACATTATTAGAGAGAACACCAGTAATTCAGCGAAGAGTCTCTTTTCGGAAAATTCGCTGAATTGAATTCTATCTTAGTGCGCAAATTCCACTCTTGCTCTCTTTCTTTATACACTAGTATATTTGGAAGCAGAGGTGGAGCGGATGCACAGTACACTCATGTCATATGAAATGAGGGAGTGACTTAAACACTTCAAAAATATCAGGCTCTATGAAAGTGGATTGAATGTTAAACGATTCCTGCTCACTCAGGCAATACGACGAAAGAACATTCGCAGTTTACTACTAGATAAGCAGTCTGTATGGAATCACGTTGAACACTGTCTGAACTTAAATGACACTGCTTCTCCTGACAGATGCTTTCTGAAACCTTATAATGATATTGTACCTTCAGAACACAAGAGAATTCGGTAACGGAATAATTAATTGGCAACTGGATGTATAGATGTAGGCAAAATACTTCTACCGTGTATTGAAGTCACAATTTGCTCATGTCTTATGTATTCCGCTCCTTCATCCGCCTTCTCCTGTTTTCCATGTTGTTTCACATGAACCGTTCATTAATTCTCCTCCCCATTAGATCCACCTCTCTGCAATCCGATGTTCTTGCAGGTCATACACATGTTCATATCTGCATATATATACTACTTATAAATCTTGTCAGTAGCACACGCCACAATATCACATTTTGCCATGAAGTTTATTGAAATAACACAGTCGGCAGGTTATTACCATTTTTTCTACTGGTTAACACTGACTTCATTTGAATTCATCACAAATGAACGAGATGATGATATTTTCACTTCATGCATGACTAGTCATTCCAACTGCATTCATAGTGCGATGAAAGCATGCAGTTCTCATCTACAAACGTGCCCATCAATGCCACGTGTAAAATATTTCATAGCTAACGGAATTGCACCAGGTTTGAGAAGCAAGCCTGTCAATGTCGAAATCCTGAGCAGTTTGACGATCACATCAGCATGTGGTCACTGTCGCTGCAATACTGATGAACAACTGATGACACAATGGCACACAGCTCGAGGCAGACAGTTTGATGGTTTGTGTAGTGCGAACTGTGGTCTTCCAGTGATGATAGTAATATTATCATTCTTGTGTTGTAGGTGAGTTTGTGAATTCTTGCATTTGCGATAATTGTAATGTGAATATTATGTCCGATTTCCTAAGAGAGTAATTATTCCAATGTGTTTTGTATCGTTTTTGTCTATGTCTTGTTACAGGTTATACTGTGGTCTGTGTGCTTGGCTTCCGTCTTGCCATCCTTCGACATAACGTGTGTATTGGTATCACTAGCTCTGACGGTTATGATAACAATTCTAACAGTCGTGCTGGCTTCAGAACTGCCACCCTTGAATCTGAAGGGAGTCATCTTCTTCGCTTCTGCATCAGTCATCTTTGCAGATTTGTCAATCATCACGAATGTTTGCAGTTACTTGATCATGAATGGTGTTATTACAATGAAGAATGTAAATCCTCTTGATTATATCAGAAAAGATGTAAACATGTTAACTATCAAATAAGACGAATTCTTAACATGATATACAAGTTTCCTTTGGCCTCACTTTTTTGACAATCCCAGTATGTAGAATATGGAATAAGATGTGGGCTGATCCAGAACAGACACATACATCATCCGCCAACCTTGGGTATATTCTGCCTCCTTGTGACGTCATTTCAATATTATCATAGCCGTGTCACACTTCTATGGTATATATCTCATTGTTATTTAGTAAAGGAGCGATGGAAGTCTACAATTTATTCAAGAATTGATGTTACTAGTTAAATGTGTCACTGCCTTGAATGCTGACGTATCTCGATAAACACATCCTTGACGAACCTACATACCAGCACCATTTAATATCTCAGGTGACCTCAGTGGAGAGTAGGACAGAACGGACTGAAGGAAAAATCAAAATGAGTTTGAAGGGAATTTCTCAACGAATGAAAAACACAACGATATTGTTTTTACTGACATTTCGCTATTTAATGCTAATAGCATTGTCAAAGTATTATTTAACGGGAATTTACAAAATCTCAGCATATATATAACAAAGAGTAAGGAGTTGTGAAAATAGACTCAGGTCTAGTTAAAGGGGACATATTGAAAGTCAAAATAACAACCAAGATCACGAAACCAAATAACAAAGGTAATAGTACATCTGTTATGATATCAAAATGAAGTTAACTTACTTGATCATCGTTCGTCACTCTGGGGTCATTTTTCGCTGTCAAGTTGGTCAGTTGGTAAAGATAAGAAAACCAAGTGTAGATTGTTGGATTTGATCAGTGTGTAAAATTATAGAAGCAGTGTGTGTTTACATAGTGAACTGGCTTATCACATTCGTGTTGATTTTGTCACTTCATGGGGGAGGGAGTTGTTGTAACCTGGTCAGATTCTGTTCTAGTCCACCATTCCTTTTCAGGCAATTTGGATTCCATTTGATGATATGAAGTGCTTCTGATGATATTCCACTTTCTTTGTGACTTCTGAGATTTTTCTGGATTATTTCCATATTGTCAAAATCGATTTTATGGCCTGATTCTATAGCGTGTAGACCTGTGGCTGATGATTTTTCAAGTTTTTCTAGTTCAACCGGATTCGTCGGTGGTCGAAGAGATGATCTGTGGAGTTCATTTCTTCTGATTTTGATTTCTCCCTCGCGATGTTTGTCCCATGTACATCGCGTCATATTCCAAGCAAGCATTTGACTTTATAGACACCATTAGGTCGAGAATGCTTAGGGATTTGGTGTTTTATATGAACAAGGTCGTTTCGCGATGTGGCTGATGTTTTGAAGATAACTCTGATGTCGAGCTTATTGAGTACTCTTTTGATATCCTCAGACGAATCTGATGGTCTATATGGAATAACAACTGTTGATGTCCATGTTTTCGGAATACGTTTTCGACCACACTTAATGTCTGTGTTGGTTTTGTTGATGATGTTCCTTGGGTAGTTGTTTTGCTTGAGAGTTTCATTATTGTTTGATATTTCTTCTTCTTTCTCTTTCTCATCCGTTATCAGAGAGTGTGCTCGTCCAAGAAGACTTGAAACAACTGAAATCTTTGCGCTGATAGGGTGTGATGATTTGAAGTCGAAATATTTATTGGAGTGGGTTTTCTTCCTGAATATGGATATACTGAAATGTCCGTTTCGCCTTCTCTTAACTAGGCAGACTAGAAATGATAGTTTACCGACGTCTGATTCTGCTTCCGAAGTAAGCTGGATTCTGGGAGATAGACAGTTTATTTTCTCCAGGAATGAATTGCGTAGATCTCGTTCTAGCACTACAAAAGTATCATCTACATACCTTAACCATATTCGCGTTTAATAATACTTTGATGAAGCTATTTGCTTTAAATACCGATGCGTCAGTAAAACAATATCATTTTGCTTTTTATTGATTGAGAAATACACAAAGCTTTATTATAATGAATACCATATACCCACTTTCCATATTTTTTCAAATGGTAAAAATGGCCTTGGTTTGGACATATATAGATTTTCTGTCCACCTTTTTCAGCAAATTTCATAATTATCTCTGTATTTCCTAGTTCCGAATAAGGCTACAAATCCTAATCAATGTATCAACATATGTTGGAGGATGTCTTCATAGTCGACATAGTTGAGATCTGAGGTGTTCATCTTGAAAGATGTGTCCATGAGGTAATATGACTACAACAACAAAACCTAACTGTGTTTCTTCTCAAGTCATCTACTGTATTTCTGCATTTATTTCAGATTCAGATAATCTGCATTCTGGCATCAATTTCCACTGGGCTATTCATAATCTTCGTAAGTTCATAATTTGATGAGTTTATCCAACATCCTTTTTTACAGTGAAGTTACGCCTACCTCCACGAGTAAGATAAATAACTTGATTCACTAGTCATTCTGAGTTCATACAAAGGAATTATTCCAACGCGAATTGATGATGCACAGGATGTCATAACCGCACTTAGGACATCACTTAGCACATATAATTTTGCTACATCCCTAGTTGTGACGACAGTTGCATCAGCTGCAGCTGAGAATATGTGGTTCATTGCTACTACCATCATCGGCATTTCCTGATTTTCGTGCATGAAGTCAGGTTGCGTATGCACCTGATGCTTTCAAATACACCAGTTCACTTTGTTCTCTTTGGTGCTGGGCCCACGATCGCTCATAATCTCTCATCTCCTCCAACTCTCACGATCTCCTCCCTGTCACCTCACACTGATGACAACTTCGTCGCTTCCCGTTGTCTTTCCGGTCGGAAAATACCCTGCATTCAGCGCAAAGTCATTCGATGGCCTCCTCAACGTATGACCGTCCAAAGCATCTCCATTTTCTGCCACATATTTGTTGAGCGATCGGCTCTTAGTTGCATTATTGCATTGAGAAATCTTTGTTGCTAACTCTTCCTGGATAGCCGACCATTCGATCTTCAGTATGGAGCCGGCGAAGGAGGCAGCTGTCGATAGGAGTCTGTAACCTGTTGAAAATGCTTTCCGTGACGTGGATGCCAAGTTTCTGACCAATATAGAAGAATTGACTGACTTCAGATTTGTGTTGAAGAGAATCCGAATCTCGTTCTTTATGGTTGCTGAGTGCAGAAGACTTCCGAACTGGTTTCAGGTTGATGAAGGCGTATCTCGATTTGACGATTGTGGCTGGCTGGCTTTGACATGTGTACTCGTTCCGACTGTCTGTGGTTGAAACCATATATCCTGGCTGGACAAATGGAGGAAGTGACCTGCGTAGAAACCCTGAAAGGTGCTGGTTGTTGCTGTTGCAACTGGTTGGTTTTCTTCATCACCTCCGCCTTTTCTATGTTCACCTGCATTCCTGTCTTCTCTGTTTGCTTCTGCAGCCAGTTTGTTGCTTCTCGCTTGCAAGTATTCCGATTTGTGTTGCATTTAGACACCAGTCATCCACTCGTTAAGTCAAGATCTTCAAGAGTCTTCTCATAGATGGTCCAGCAAACTCCTGTCCTATTTATTTTGGCACCTCTCTTAATGCCCTTTTATTAAGATCGAATCTTTCAGAAAGTTTCTCATATCACTCAACCTCAACCTAAACTGACTAATCGTCACCAATCATAACAGTAACAATTCAGACTATTCATCACTCTTCTTCAATATTCTGATGGTGTATAAGATACTTCAAACTAATCTCCATTCTTGTGCTATGCACGCGCACACTCACAAAGAAACGATCACACACAATTGTGACTGTACAGCTTAGTGAATGCATTCTCTGTTATTGAAATCAGCTATTCAGTGAAATATCATCATCTAATATATGTGCAAATCAATCATGTATATTGTGATAGTGTAAGCTTGTTTATTGGATACACCACCACCAGTGAGAGAATCTCGTTTACCGGATAACACTTCTAACACAACTCACTACTGTCAATCATGTCAACTCTAAATATACAAGTTCGAAACAGAATTTCACCAGTTCCATTCCAGTAAAATCAATCGCCGTATGGGTGGTGGAATATTCCAGATGGACAAGAACTATTCAAATCCTATTTGTTGAAACAGTTGACATGAATATGAACACCAAGTTGTTTTTGAAATGTTTTCTGGTAAATAATACTATAGATGAATATGGAGTATTTATTACATTGATTATAACGATACCGAAATGCAGAAGTGCTAACCTAGTGATAAAGTGCACTTTGAGGCATTCGATCTGTCAATGTGAAGTGAAAATCTTGAGCGGATTGTGAATTGAGACTCGATATAACAAGAACCATGCATAATTATGCACAATGATTCTACATCAGTAAAGGTTGACTATAACGTAGTAAGTTGAAGAAACCTCAGATTCTGACAGCAAATCTGCCGAAAAGTTATCACAAATAAGTTAAATGACAAGATCAGCATGACCTCATGGGAATGTGACAGTCAGTCAAAATTGAAGTATTCGAAATTATAAATGGTTCCTGATTCCTGCTAGAGTTAAAAGTTGTATGTGGCATCATTCTCGTCTCTCTACCAGCCATGTTAATTACGTGGCAAGTACATGACAAACAGCCTAAAATATCATCTGTGAACCGACGTCGAATCCATAAATACGGCATCATATTTTCAGGCATTTCGATTTTATCTTATAAATGTAATCTTCTCAGTGTTAGGAAGTCATTTAATGCTACAACATATTGATATGGAATATGAGTTTCTGAATATCTATGGTATTCATTCTAGTCTGAAAGCGATTTCTTCTCTTACATTGCAGGTCACGTTCACTTTCCTCAGTGGCCGAAAATTGTTGATGTGGTGGTTTGGACCTAATAGCTCAAAATGTATTCTAGCCTTATTCATCTGGTTTCTGATGATAGGCCTATTCTCAGTAATATATACTACTTTAACATTTAGCAGAAAATGGACTTCAAGCAGTCA